AGAAGTTTCTTGGTAGAGGTTTTAGGATTCTCTAGGTATAGTATCATATTGTCTGCGAATAGTGAGAGCTTGATTTCTTCCTTTCCTACCTGGATACCCCTAATATCTTTTTCTTGTCTAATCACTATTGCAAGTACCTCCAGTACTATATTAAATAGCAGTGGAGAGAGTGGACATCCTTGTCTCGTCCCTGATCTTAGAGGGAAGGCTCTCAGTTTCTCACTATTGAGGACGATGCTTGCTGTAGGCTTGTGGTAGATGGCTTTAACTATATTGAGGAATGTCCCCTCTATCCCTATTTTAGCTAGGGTTTTCATCATAAATGGGTGCTGGATCTTTTCAAATGCTTTCTCTGCATCTATTGATATGATCATATGATTTTTATCTTTTCTTTTATTGATATGGTGGATTATGTTGATTGATTTCCGACTGTTAAACCATTCTTGCATCCCCGGGATGAATCCTACTTGGTCATGGTGTATAATCTTTTTTGATGAGTAGTTGAATTTTATTTGTTAGTATTTTGTTGAGAATCTTCGCATCCGTGTTCATCAGGGATATCAGACTGTAGTTTTCTTTTCCCGTGGTGTCTTTGTTTCCTTTTGGTATTAGAGAGATATGGGCTTCATAGAAACTGTTTGGGAGAGTTTCTGTTTTTCAATTTCCTGGAAAAGCTTGAGAAGGACTGGCAGCAGGTCCTCTTTAAATGTTTGGAAAAATTCGCTAGTGAATCCATCTCGGCCCAGGCTTTTGTTTTTGGGAAGACTTTTGATTGCAGTTTCTATTTCGTTGATGTTAATAGGTCTATTCAGAAACTCCAGATCTTCTTGATTCAGCTTTGGGAGATTATAGGAGTCCAGGAATTTGTCCATTTCTTCTAGGTTCTCTTGTTTCGTGGGATACAGACTTTCAAAGAAGTCTCTGATGATCTCTTGAATTTCTTTAGTTTCTGTTGTGATATCCCCCTTCTCATTTCTGATTCGGTTTATTAGGGTTCTCTCTCTGTTTCTTTGTGAGTGTTGCTAGTGGTTTATCTATCTTGTTTATTTTCTCGAAGAACCAGCTCTTGGTTTCATTGATCTTTCGGATTGTTTCTTTGGTTTCCATGTCGTTGATTTCTGCTCTAAGTTTTATGATATCTTTCCTTCTGCCTGATTTAGGCTCTTTCTGTTGATCCTTTTCTAAGGTCTTGAGCTGTGAGGTCAATTTGTTTATGTGCATCGTTTCTACAGACTTAAGATATGCTTGCAGAGCTATAAATTTTCCCCTTAAATACGGCTTTGCTGCATTCCATAGGTTCTGGTAGCTCATGTCTTCATTCTCATTTGTTTCCAAGTATCTTTTGATTTCGTCCTTAACTTCATTCCTGAACCACTCGTTGTTCAGCATCGAGTTGTTTAACTTCCAGGTGTTTGATTTGGTTCTCCGTGTCTGTGTGTGATTCACTTCTATCCTCAGTGCATCATGGTCTGAAAAGATGGCTGATACTATTTCTATCTTCCTGATTCTGTTGAGGTATGTTTTGTGTCCTAGCACATGGTCTATTTTGGAAAATGTTCCATGTGCACTGGAGAAGAATGTGTATTCTTTCTTTTTGGGGTGTAAAGCCCTGTAAAGGTCTGTAAGCCCTCTCTCTTCTATTTCTTCTTTCAAAGCCAATGATTCCTTGCTGGGTTTTGTTCTTGTTGATCTGTCCAGAGGTGATAGGGCAATGTTGAAGTCTCCAAGTACTATTGTGTTGCTTGTAATGTCCTCCTTAAAATCTGTTAGCATTTGTTTTAAATATTTAGCTGTTCCCTCATTAGGTGCGTATACAATTAAGAGTGTGATTTCTTCCTGTTTTACGTATCCCCTGATGAAGAGAAATTAGCCTTCACTGTCCCTTCTAGTCTTTTTCAAGGTGAAATTAATGTTATTGGATACTAGTATGGTCACCCCAGCTTTTTTGCAGGAGCTGTTTGCTTACAGGATTGTTTTCCATCCTTTGACTTTGAGTCTGTGTTTGCTCTGAGTGTTGAGATGAGTTTCTTGTAGGCAGCAGAATGTTGGGTTCTGTCTCTGTATCCATTTTGCCACTCTGTGTCTCTTAAATGGTGAATTGAGACCGTTGACATTGAGAGAGAGTATGGTTATGGGGCTTTGTGTCATGTTTCTGTGTAGGTGTGTTATGGTTGTAGGGTTTGTCTTGTCTTATAGTAGCCCCTTTAGGCCTTGTTTTAGGTTTGGTTTTGAGTCTATGAAGTTCCTGAGCTGCTGTTTATCTAGAAAATAGCATAGCGTTCCTTCAATTTTGAGTGAGAGTTTAGCCGGATAGAGTATTCTTGGTGAAGCATTCATTTCCGTGAGTTTTTTTACTATATCTTGCCACTGTCTTCAGGCTTGTAGGGTTTCCTCTGATAAGTCTGCTGTGAGTCTCAGGAGTGCTCCTTTGTATGTGATTTCCTTTTTTGCCCTTGCTGCTTGCAGTATTGTGTCTCTATCGGTAGCATCGATCATTCTAACTATTATATGTCTTGGAGTGTTTCTGTTGGGGTCTCTTTTAGCTGGCACCTTTTGGGCTTCTTGAATCTGAATGGCTGTATTGTAGAGCTCTGAGAATTTCTCGGCGATGATTTGTTTAAGCATGTTTTTTTCATTGGGATTTTTACCCTGAGCTTCTGGTAGTCCAATGATTCTAATGTTGTTTCTTTTGGAATCGTCTCATAGGACTCTGATTCTCTGTAGAGCTATTTTGAGGTCCTTTTCTACTGTTTATTGTTGCTTGTTGGCTTGGTGCAGCTGATCTTCCAGGTCACTGATTCTTTCCTCAGCTGTGGTCATTCTGTTTTTGAGGGCAGAGAGTGAGTTTTTGACTTCATCTAGGGAATCTGTGATGTGTGCCATTTCTGTGCGAAGCTTTCCAATTTCGGCTCTCATTTCTTGCTGTAGTTTGTCGATTGTGTGATCGATTGTTTCTTTCATGTCCTGTTTCAATTTAGCGGATATCTGTCTGACTGTTTCATCGAGTTGATTGAATATCTTAATGACTTCATATCTGAATTCCTTGTCAGAGAGGTCCCTAAGGTGACTAGCACCTAGTGAGGCTTCTGGACTTATTTCCTCGTGGTCTCCCTGTGGCGGAGATTTGCGTTGTTTCTTCATGTTGTTGTGTAGGTGTAGGGATGAGATTTCTTGATTTTTGTAAACTACCCGCGGCCGTGTAAGCGCCGGCCCCCCCAAAATTAGGCCACGCCCACTTTTTAACAGCCACGCCCACTTCTAAATTGGCCACACCCCTACAGCTACCTGGTGTGTGTCCCAGGAGAAAAGACTGGGTGGGGAGAAGAGATCAGGTCAGCTTTGGCGGCGGAAAGGGAGAGTCAGAGAGGCTCCGATCAGCTTTGTTGCCCCACGTCCGCGGGACCCCTCCTCCGGGCCTCGCGCGGTGCAATCCAAAGTCCCGGGTCTGAGAAACGGCGCCAAAACTGACCTGGGGATTTAGGGAGAGAGCCAGCATCCATTCTTGAACTCTCCCATCTACCCCTTCCCATCAGAGTAACCTTATTTTCTCTCACATTGTTGGTCTATTATTTCTTGACATTCATAGCATCTGTCTAAAAGAATTCCCTATATTGATCTGAGTTAGAAAACATTCTTTCTAGTTTAAAATTTATGTTTTGCTTCTGGTGTTTTGGCCACATTACATTTTATAGCCCAGCAAGCTACCGAGAGTATTCGATATGCCAGACACAGTAACAACAAAGTCTCCAATGGAGACGTTACTGGGACCACTCGAGCAAATCGACGATCAACGGGAGGGCCTTTACCTTTACCTATAATCAATATTATGAGCTTCCTAATTCTCTATATTAAATTTTAGAAATACTTTCTCACATCCAAGTTACCAAAAATTTACCTTTGTTTCTACTCTTATTTTCACATTTTAAGTTCGAATACATTTAGGGTTTGAAAGGAAAGAGGAAGTTCTCACAATTTGTTTTGAGAACAAATTGTGGCCACACTTTGAGAGAACAGTTTTCTGGCCATACTTCGATGGTGCTCAGAGCTTCCTCAGGGCTCTGTGCTCAGGAATCATTTGTGGAGGGCTCAGGGGACCAGACGGGGTGCTGGGGATCGAGCCCAGGTACACTGTGTGCCAGGTAAGTGCCCTCCCTGCTGTCCTATGACTCTGGTTCCTTTCCACAATTTTCCATTTTATTCTTGGTTAGAAGTGTCTGGTGAATCTTACTTCCTACAGATGTCCATTGATGCCCCAGTGAATATAAGTTTAACACAATTGGATTGAATCAAACAGAAATAAATATGGGAAAAACCGTTAACTCAATTTCTTATCTTCAGTGTTTGTTCTTGCACCACCAGCATCTTACTGCCTTTTTGAGAGAAATCAGAATGCCTTATTGTCAGCAGCTAGTTTTGCTTCTCTCTTCTTTCTCTCGGCTGTCCAGACTGATTTATATTATTCCTCATGTATTTTGTACAAGACTGTGTAACTTCTGAAAAAAAAGTATAAAATTTTTAACTTAAATATTTATAAAACGTTATAGAGAACTGTTGATTAATCCTATCTATAAATTTATGGTGATTTGTGCAGAATCATGTATTAAATCGGATATTTTCTTTCTTTGTGTTTATTGAATCACCATGAGCTACAGTTGGAAAACTTTAATGTTCGAGTTTCAGTCATAGAATGAGCGAACACCCATCCCTCCACCAGTGCCCATTTTCTACCACCAATGTCCCCAGTATCCCCTTCCCCCCATCCCAATCCTCCTCCTGCCTCTATGTCAATTTCCCCCAGATTCTCTGTCTTGACTTTGGGGCATTTAGTTTACTCGAATTTTCCCACCACGCTTCAAACCTGCCTTCCAGAAGCAGTGCTAGCTAATTTATTTTCTATTGCTCATTATGAATATCATGAGACGTTTTAAGACAGTGAAAGCTGCCGTGTGCTTCTGTTCTTCAGGTCAAGTGCCCTGTAGGTGCAGCACCTGCAGTGGACCATGGACGACCCTCAGTTGAACGACCGTCAATCCAACGCCCTGAGGATTGTCCTTGTAGGGAAAACAGGAAGTGGTAAAAGTGCCACAGCCAACACCATTCTTGGGGAAAACAGATTTATTTCACAACTGTCTTCTGCCTCTGTAACAAAAAAATGCCGGAAAGAGTTTGGGAAATGGAAGGAGAGGACTATCCTCGTCGTGGACACGCCGGGGATCTTTGACACCAAGGAGAAGGTGGACACCACCTGCAAGGAGATCAGCAAGTGTGTCCTCTACTCCTCCCCGGGCCCTCACGCCATCATCCTGGTGCTGCAGCTGAACCGCTACACAGAGGAAGATCAGAAAGTCTGCGCTATGGTCAAGACTCTCTTTGGGGAGTCAGTCACCAGACACATGATCATCGTGTTTACTCGGAAAGAAGACCTGGAGGGCAAAAGTCTATGTGACTTCATAGAAGCTGACGTGAGCCTAAAAAACATGGTCAAGGAGTGTGGGAACCGCTGCTGTGCCTTCAGCAATAGAGCAAAGGAGGATGAGAAGGAAGCTCAGGTGCAGGAGCTGATCCAGCTGATAGAGAAAATGATGCACAACAACGCCCACTTCACTGATAACATATATGAGGATGTAGAGAAAAGGCTAAGACAGAAGACTAAGGCCTTGATCAAAATTTTTGATAGTCAGTTGGAAAAGGAAATTCAACTAATAGAAGAAGAATATGTCACTAAGACACAGGGAGAAAAGGAGGAAAGAATAGAATTGCTGAAACAGCAACATGCTGCTCGAATAAGAAATATAAGGGAAGAAGCTGAAAAGAACACATTTGAGGAGGTTCTCAACATAATTAGAAATTTCTTTTCAAAATTATTGTCTCCTTTTTGGAAGTAATGTAATTTTCAATTTATCTTCTATTGTTGGTTCTAGAATATGGTGGATTTTACTAAAGACACGCCTTACTCACTAGCCCTACATTAAAGTAATATCTGTAATAGATTACTAAGAATAAAACAACCAAAGGTAAGAGTCTGTCTTCATCCATCCTGCGTCCTTGAACATTCTCCCAAGTGTATATTTTGCTGACGATGTCAATAAATCTAAAAAAGAAGAAATTTAATTTTCCCAAACTCAAAAAGACTCTTAAAATCTTACTTTCTTTATTAAAATAAAATTTCATTTGCCTTCAATATAAGATACCCGTGTTGATGGTGGGAGTGTGTCGGGGGTGGAATAAACACATTTACTGAACAATGCTATATACTATGAAATTTTAACTCCTAAGTTGTGGACACAATCATTCTCTAAGTTAATCCATATGCATGATAACTCATCTTGTTGTCTTCAGACATTGAGGAGCTTAAATAGCTAATCAAACCAAAAATATGCAACTAAGTGTATTTTTCATACAGGCATAATATTCGCAGGTAATGCATTCACATCCTTTGACTATTATGTTATGATCATGGGAGGATGCACACATTGTTGCACTTGTGTCCACTGGAACTCAGTGAGAGCCCCAAGAACAAATTGGAGAGAAGCTCAGGAAACATGACACCAGCCCCACTCACTGCACAGCGTGTCGGAGTCTCAGTCCCTTGTCAAATCACTCAGACTATGAACACATTTATACCCCAAACTACATTCTAGTGTGTCAGACAAGAACACACAGCAATCTCTACTAAAACAAGGCATTGCCCCCATCCTGAGAGATGCAAGGGGAAGAAGTCATGGTGACAGTCAGAGGATCAAGAGAGAGAATGATTTCTTCTACACTGCTAAGGTTAGAGTGCACTTTGCTGTCCCTTAACCAGAGAGTCAATCTGGATGGTCCTGGCAAGGTCCAGGGGCTGTCAAGGGACTCAGGAGGCAACAGAGTTACAAAGTTAGCACAGCTGGGTCCCATAAATCTTAGGGACAATCTTTGAAAAATGAAAAGACTGGACCAGAGAGAGACTTAGTAGTAAGGCACTTACCATCTGATCCCTGAGCATGACCAAGAGTGATCCCTGAATGCTCAGCCAGCAGTGGACCCTGGGTATTGCCATATGTGTCCCCCCCACCAGTAATTAGAGATAAGTATGTCAATATCCAATGCAATGGACAGTCTATGGCGTGTGCATAGGATGTGAGGGATCAGTGAGTGAAACAGACCCGTAATTTACCGAAACTCACTGATGCTCTGTATCTTACCTTCCCATAACAATGATTACTTTCTCTTTAGCATCAGGGCTGCACAGTGACTGGCAGGGCTCTAAATCTCTCTCTCTTTCTCTCTCTCTCTCTCTTTCTCTCACTCTCTTTCTCTCACTCTCTCTCTCTCTCGCCTGATCTTTCTCTGCCAAAGTCTTTACATAAATGTTTGGTGATATGTTACTACAGTTTAGGAATTTTTCCTTCCTTTTTGTTGGTCAATAACATCATTCACACAAATAATGTAAGTGTAAGTATCTCATTCTCATTTATCAGTCACAATTGATTTCATATGGTTAAACCAATCAGCATATGTGAGATTTTATGCATTTTCATATGTACATATCATTCACAGAAACATGCATTTATATCATTTGAATTTTATATGATCATTGGAATACTAATATATGTAACACATATTATTTGCTGTATTAAATGATGAATATTTATTTCCATTTAAAAATAGTATGTGGGAGGGAAAGGCTGCTGCTGTAAGTTTTTCCTTTTAAATGTTGTTTAAGGCAAAACTCATCTTAATAGTTTTTGAAAGCAAATTATCTTTAAAAACAAGAAAATGCCAACTGAAATAATTAAGTAGCAATTATTATTGTTGTGGGCTGGAGCGATAGCACAGCGGGTAGGGCATTCGTCTTACAAGCGGCCAACATGGCCGACCCGAGTTCGATTCCTCCGCCCCTCTCGGAGAGCCCGGCAAGCTACCGAGAGTATTCGATATGCCAGACACAGTAACAACAAAGTCTCCAATGGAGACGTTACTGGGCCCGCTCGAGCAAATCGACGATCAACGGGAGGGCCTTTACTTTTACTTTACTTTTAATTAAGGAAATAGATTAAATTAAGAAACTACATTAAAGAGATTCTCAACTGTTATGTGGCTGCTAAATACATAAAGATATCATACCATGGAGGAGCTGAGTTATGCTTCATCCTAAATCTCAGACTGGGACTGAAGAGATAGTACAGGATTTAAGGCATTTGCCTTGCACTGGGCAGGCCTCTGTTTGAGCCCTAGTATTGCATATAGACCCCCCACTCACTGCCAGGAGTGACCTCAGAACAGAGCCAGGAATAAGCTCTCAGCCAACTCTACGGTGCCCACGACTCAAGGGCTATGCAAGTTTATCGATTAATTCTTCCTACTACAATCACTAACTTTATTTAAAATAACTATACTAATTATTAAAATTGCCTTACAAGGACAACCTCCCATATAAAACCTTCTGGTAGATTTCCAGAGTCAGTCATATGTCTCCACAGATTAGTCGTAAACAAATCTGAAATACACTGTCATGAACAAAACAAATATCAGAAAGCCACTCTGAAGACTACAATCCAGAGGCTGGAGTGACCGGAGTGACCGTACAGTGGTAAGGGGACCTACTTTGCACCCAATTTGGTCCCTGAGCATCACCAGAAGTGATCCCTGAGTATAGAGACAGGAGTAAGCCTTGAGCACAGCTGTGTGTGACCCCCCAAAACACAACAAGATGCAATCAAGTAAATAAAGAAAAGGAAAGGTTACTAACAAAGCAATATACCTACCTACTTGTATAAAGATCTATATAGGGGACGGGAACTGAGGCACATTGCGAGGAAACAAAGCTGAACCGCTCCGGGAACTCTCTCCTCATTCAAACAGGTACCCGCCCGATGCCTGGTGCCAGGGACTTTTTCCGGGCTTGTAAAGTAAGGGCTTGTGCAGCTAACTAAATCCCCTGAGAACAGCCGGTTTTCACCCTTGGTCTGTGCAGGACGGGAACTGAGCACACCACCGGGAAACAACACTGAACTGCTCCGGGCATCTCTCCTCATTCACACAGGTACCCTCCTGGTGCCCGGCGCCCGGGACCCTTTCCGGGTGTGCACAGCTAACTAGATCCCCTGAGAACAGCCGGTTTTCACCCTTGGTCTGCGCAGGATGGGAACTGAGGCACACCGCGGGGAAACAAAGCTGAACTGCTCTGTTCACTCTCTACTCATTCAAACAAGAACCCTCCTGGCGCCCAGAGCCTGGGACTCGTTCCGCAGCCGCGACCACTATCGCGGCTACAAGTTATTCTCCCACTACATATCCTATAGGAACCATAAGTTACCCTCTTAGATGGAACCTTCACTAGGTTAGCTTTATCACCAGAACACACAATAGCCAATAATTCATTAAGCACATCTCAATTCATTCTGCATCTCAAGCAGAATAGTAACAGTGAATGTGAAGGTCTAAACCACACTGGTCACAATAGTAAAGCAACGCAAAAGCCCACCAGGCTTTCTTATTGAAGAGGCTATCCCAGAAGACACCAACAGTATTGGAGTGCTAGACAACCTCTCTGACAAGGAATTTAGAAGGGAGCTACTGTGGATGCTTAGGGAGCTAAAAGAAACAATGGAAAGCAATGCCAATAAAAGACAAGAGGATTTGAAGGTAGAAATGCGGAAAATGCAAACAGAAATGTCAAATCTGAAAAACCAGGTAGGTGAATTGAAAAACTCAGGGGAAGGCCTCAGCAGCAGAGTAACAGCTGCTGAGGACAGAATCAGTGAGCTTGAAGATGAAGTCCAGAGACTCTCCAGAAAAGAGCAGAAAATGGAAAAGAGACTCACAGTTCAGGAACAGATGGCAAGAGAAGATCGTGATAAAGCCAAGAGGGCTAACACAAGAATTTTTGGAGTCCCAGAGGGACAGGAAGAAAACCATGATGAAGAAGAAACTGTCAAAGACATCATTACTACGTTTCTAGAGCTGAAGAAAACATGTGACCACATTCAGGAGGCCCGAAGGGTACCAGCTAGAAGAAATCCAAATAAAAATACCCCAAGACACATCCTGATCAACATGACCAAAACATTAGATAGAGACAAAATTCTGAAATCAGCAAGGTCAAAGAAAGAATTTTCCTACAAACCAGAAGGGTCAGAGTGATAGTACAGTGGGTAGGGCCTTTGCCTTGCAAGCTACTGGGTTTGATCCATACATGGTGCTCCCAAGCCCATCAGAAGTGATCCCTGAATACTGCTGGGTATGACTCAAACTGCCCCAAACAAACAAAAAACAACCTGCAGCATATTTCTGTCTCTAAAACCCACCTAAATAGGAAATAAGAAATGGATAGTTATTCAAGTTGAATCCTCTTGCTTTCTCTCCTTTCACTCCCCGTGATAGGTGGTCAATAAAAAATTATTATCATTATTATTTTTGATGTGACACTATATCGTTTATTTTTTAATTGAATCACCATGAGGCACAATTACAGACCTACAAACTTTCGTGCTTACGTTTAAGCCATACAAGGAGCGAGTACCCATCCTTCCACCAGTGCCCTTTCTCCACCACCAATCTTCCAAGTATCCTGCCCACCACTCCCTCCCCATACCCTCTCCAAAAGCCTCTGTGACAGGCTCAATCCCTTTTACTCTCTCTCTCTCTCTCTCTCTCCTTTAGATGGTTGTGGTTTGCATTGCAGGTATAAAGTGGCTATCACGTTCGGTCTATAGTCAACTTTTCGTACATATCTCCCATCCTGAAAATACCCTCCAAGCATCCTTTACTAGGTGGTCTATTCTCTATATGAGCTGACTTTCTCGCCAGCATGTGAGGTCAGCTTCCAAGCCGTGGAGAAATTCTCCTGAGTGTTAGTCTCCAATTCTGTTGCTTTATTTCCCACAAATGAGTGCAGTCCTTC